TAAATAAAAATGCATTTATAATTAATTATAATTAAAATTATCTTTAAAAATTACCAATGAAGAACAAAAAGAGAAGAATAAAAATAAGTACAGAATGAAAGAGAGAGAGAGAGAGAGAGAGAGAGAGAGAGAGAGAGAGAGAAAGGAATTATTTCAAAACAGAGGTTTTAAAACGTTTTCTTTCGAAACATTGATATTAAACTCTGCAGAAAACAAGCATATGATGGTGTTTATGTAATGTTTGGAAATAAAATTGGTCTTCAAATTCGAATAAAAGCTCTTTCACCAAATGCCATCTATGTTCATTGTTGTGCTTATGTTTTAAATTTAGTGACCATCAAAGCAATGTCTGTGAACAGTGATGTCCAGATGTTTTTAGGTACAGCTGAAAAATTGTATACGAACCTTACGTCTAGTTTACCAAAACTTCATACTCTCCAAGAGCACTAGAAAAGTGTATATGAATCAACAGTAGACACGCTAAAACGACTTTCTGATACAAGATGAGCAAGTAGGAAGCATGCAGTTGATGCTAACATTGAATCTTTTTCTGCTAATCTAGCCTCTCTAGAAAATGTAAATCTAGGAGAATGTAAAGATTATACAGGTAATGTTAGAACAGAAGCTGTTGGACTATCAGTTTTAATTCAAAAAAACGTTGATTTGTTTTTCTAATGTTGTTTAATCTTTTTTTAATGTTTAAACATTAAAAGTTAAATCATCCATATCTTCTCGTTGCGAATAGTTAGACAACACAAAAAGATTAAATTAATTAATTTATTCTTTTTGTGTTGTCTAACTATTTGCAACGAGAAGATATGGATGATTTATTTGCAAAACAGTTAATTGATGTTACAAAAAATAATTTGTAGATATGAAAAACGATGAAGCTTTTGAAGTTGTACATTTAGCAGTCAAATCATTTATTTGTGAAAAATGTGTCGAACTTGATGTAGAAACTGATGTAAAAACTCGTCTTTTTTTAAATTCAGTTAACCTAACATAATGCTAAAAAAAAAACGCATAACAGGAGAGCTGTGGAGAGGTAAAAAAAATGATGATTCAACTACACGCCTAAAATGTGAAACCTACTTCAATGTTTTGGATACAATTATAACCCAAATACATAAACGATTTAACGACTTTAGTAACACAGTTACACATTTTGATTGCCTTGATCCGTCAAAATTATCTGAAAAAAATATAAATTCATTTAAAAAACTGTTAAATTTATTGTAACGACGTAAATACTGAAGAAGCAGTCGTAGAGTATAAGACTTTCAATAATGTGTATGCATGGATATCCCCAACACTGACAACTGACATCCAATTGAAAGATGTATTTCAGTTCTTGATTGAAAAACAGATAGTACCCGTTCTATTTAGCCTGTCTATACTTTACAAAATCTATTTGACTCTTTTATATCTGCTACTCCTGTTACATCTGTTAATGATAAAAAAAAGTTTTGCCTCAATGAAATCTCGCAGAATTTATGTAAGCTACCTGAAAAGTGAATTTTTTTCTAAATGCTAACTTTTGCAATATGTCCAGTTAAATAGATTTTTAAATAACCGAACTATTTCAGTAATATAAATTTTTTCTTATTTTATAAAAGATAATTTTTAACTAAAATAAACATAAGAATCAAAAAAAACATTAGCCCAGCTAACATGCTTTCAGCGGACCGCGTTGCGCAAAGCCGCCGCCGGAATGCCGGTGCTGGCCCTTTGTGATTGCTAATGCGGATTACCGCTGACGGGTAGCTGATGCAGGACTGGCATGCTATTTTGTGTTGGCTTTCCGCCATTGGCCGAAGAGCGATAAACACCTCGTTGCCAATGCAATTTTAAATAGGCATGCCAGCTTCGGTAAGTTTATGACGATACGCTTTAGTTTTGCCAACACAATGCCCGAGTTGGCTCCCGGATAACGGTATGATGTCGTAAAAACACCAAAAGTAAGCCATGAGACTTACATTGATCGATTTTTATATTTTATATATAAAAATCGATCAATGTAAGTCTATGTAAAACAGTAAGTAATAAATAAATAGTATTAAAAAAAAATCAAATTAGTCTTTTTATTTTTAAGTCTTACAATATAGGTTATATATATTAAATCTACATCTATACTTTAATAAAGTATAGATGTAGATTTAATATATATAACCTATATTGTATATTTTATAATATAAAGTCCGATTTATTTTATTTATTAAATTATATTTTATAATATAAAGTCTTTATATTATAAAATATACCTAGCTATAATTATTGCTTATAAATACTAAAAGTTACATGATTTTATACCTTTATCTATATTTATAAATTATAAATATAGATATAAATATAATATATTATAATATAAAGTATACTTTACTATATATTATATTATAATATATTATATGTATATCTATATTTATAATTTATATTTATATCTATATCTATACTTATATATTATATCTATATCTATACTTAGTATAGATATTAAGTATAGATATACATATAGGTTCAATATATATTTATAAGACTCAAAATTAAAAATTCTAATTTGATTTTATTTTAAACATATATAACTTTAACAATATTGTTACAGTTATGTAACAATGTTATAACCATATTAGTATAACATTGTTCTTGTTATATTAAAAGTTACATGACTAGTCATATAAGTTATATTATAACTTTTAATATAACAAGAACAATGTTAAACTAATATGAAGTTATATATATATATATATATATATATATATATATATATATATATATATATATATATATATATATATATATATATATATATATATATATATATATATATATATATATATAGGTACGTGCACTGAAATTTTTATATTGATCATATAGTAGAATGTTATACATCATTAGAAAGGCCTTTAATACAGTATTTTAAAGGTGAAAAAATTATTAAAAACGAACAATTCTAAAAAAAGTTATAACATTTTTAGTTACAAATTTTAGATATATGGAATTGTTGAAGAAACTGTGGTCAAAATAATTATTTTTTTCATTTAAATTGTTATAACTTTGTCAATTTTTATCCAAATACCTATATCTTGGTATCACAAGATAGGTGCACTAATGGGCTACAAGTTCATTTTGGTGCCTGGATGTAAGGTGTATCTTGGGAGCCAGAGGGGGTAATGAAACACCATCTAACCCTTAAGAAAATACAAGTTTTTGTCAGAAATAAGCACTTTTTAAATGTAATTGTTATATTTTATACATAAAATATTGCCATAACTTGATTCCAAAACACTGTCAAAATAAGGTGATCTTAGAGTTGACCATAGATGTGGTTGTGATGTTATAACACCCTAAATACAATAATCATACTTTCTAATAAATAATTTAATCTTTTTTACAGTAACTTAATATTTTGTTAAAAAGTAAAAATATTTTTTTTTACTATAAAACATACATTAGTGATATACAACACTAACTTTAGGGGAGGGTGTATGTCGCACCGCCCCCCCCCCCCCTCCGACTCATAAAAATAAAAATAATTTTTTCTTTATTACAATAATTAAATGCATTGTTAAAAATTAAAAAAAATCTTTTATTACTATTCAGCATATATTATTGATGCACACATTGACTTGAAATGAAGGAAGTATGATGCACCCCCTCCCCCCTCCACCCACGTGACAAAAAATAATCTTTTATAACTATACAACATACATTGGTATTGAAAATATTGTTGTATTACATAAAGCAATATTTTTTTTACTGTAGAACATACATTAGTGATGTACAATTTGAGGAGAGGGATAGTTTTCCCCCTTCCCCTCAACCAACATAAAAAAGAAAACACATAGAAAAGACATTTTCAACATTTTCACATGCAATTATTAAAAAAGAGAAAGCACAATACATAATTGTTCTACCAGATTACAAGTTGCACTAGTATACATTTTCTCATTTAAATGATCATATTTAACCCACCAACATAATAAAAAAAAAAAATAATAAAATGTTTTAAAACATAGCAATTACTCTATGTCTTGGCTTTTAGTAAATGATTTTAGTTTTAAGATCGAAATGACCTATAAGCTTCATATGTAAGCTCTAAAAACAAATAAAATATTAATGTATTTGTAATTCATGTAATTAAAAATTAAAAAAATTAAAATAAATACTTACCAAGACAGTTTGTCTGAATATATATAAAGAATGATTAATGAATCAATGAAATCTTTAATAAAAGTTAATCAGAATAAAAACTCAAACATGTATAAGCTTCTGATTCTCCTTTTATAGCACTTGGAGAGATAACAAAACACAAAAGTATTAAATAGATTATATAAATAGGAATAAGAGGAACTCAGTAAAAAATCAGAGACATTTTAGATTTATAAATTTACCGTTTAAAGGTGGTACAAATGGAACTAAAAGTAAAATTTGTTTTAATAAAAAATACAAATTGCAAATGGTAATAAATGCATTCATAGTCTAAAAAGTAATAATTTTTATATAAAAATGGTTTAAATTAAAAACCAGTTGATAAGAAATGCAATTGCAAAAATGAATATGCAATTGATAAGAAATGCATACACATGTTAAAAGAAAAAAGGTTTTGAAACTTACCAGGCGTAGCCACACGTATAAAGAACTAAAGGTAAAAAATATATTATAAAAATCAATATTGCAATCAATGAGAAATTTGCGCACATTAAAAAGAGTTGTTTAGGTGTAGCACAAAAGGTAGATACTAAAATTACAATGTTGTAACAAAAAATCAATATTTTAAATAACGAGAAATGCATACACATAAAATGTAATAGTTTTTCAAATTAATAGTTGCAGCACATGACTAAGGAAATAAAGTTAAACATATTGTAAAGAAAATAAAGTTAAACAACTTTTTAATTTCACATTAAAAAGTTGTTTAACTTACCAAGTGTAACAAAAAAGGTAGATACTAAAATTAAAAAATTGCAGCAAATGGGAAATCCATACACAACAAGTAATAATTAAATAAGTAGGAAATACATATATTTATTTATATTTCTTCAATGGTTAATAAAAGTTATGCTATAATAACTTACCAGCTGTAGTCTGTGCATATTGGAATAATGATAACAAAAAAATTGTATGATCAAAAAAAAAAAGATCTTGAAATTGTCAACAGTCAATAAAAATAAGTTATTAAATCAGTTCTGCTTTACGTATAACAACTTTACTAACAAGAAAAAGGTATGAAAAAAAAAAAAAAAAAAAAAAAACAAATAATATTACTGTATTTTAAAATTATATTACTGTATATTAGAAAGACACTAACAAGATATAAGAATAAACTTATAATTGTAAAAGTATCTTGATATTTTTCCAAAAATAAGCTTATTTTTATAAAAATATTTTGTCAAAAATGTTATTGGCTTAAGCCAATAATGTTTTACTTTAAAGTATAATAATGTTGTTTGTATATTTTTATATACATGGTGTATTAACAACATTGGTATCTGATACTAATAGTTAATAAAATATTTCAAAGTAACAGTTTAATCTTAAATCTTAATCTTTTTTAATATACCATCATTGGTATATATTACCATCATTGGTATATATAGTTTAAAAAACCTTAATCTTTGTTTACATGCCATGTAAACAAAGATTAAGGTTTTTTAATTTATCATTGTTTTGTTTTTTAAAAAAGTTATTATCATCATGAAAAACATATTAACTTACTTTTTAAAGTTTTCTTTTCCATAACTTTATCATTTTTATTTGAATTTTAATCTAATATTAAGAATTAAAATAATACAATGTAGTAGTAATTTTTTGTTTACAATCCGCTTCCCCCCTATCCTCCCCCGTATTTCTCTTACTGATAAAACAAAAACAAAGAAAACTGAATTTAGGTACCGAAAGTCCTACACTTCTTAAACTATCTGCTCCCAATTATTTTTTGCTGAAATTTGGCATGTGCAAAGAAAATGCATGTAAAAAATTGCCTGAATAACAAAAAAAGCGGACACGACATTCCTTCGACAACAAATTAATGTGAGAACATCAACGAAATTTTCTTGAAAGTTTTCAGCAAAACTAACCATAAAAAAGTTTAGTGATTATACATAAAAGTACTATAAAAATCAAGCCTAACCTTTCTTCTTTCCAAATATAACTTTTATTTATATATGTTTCTAAAAAGAAACACCACAAAAAACGTTTGTCTAACCCTACCTAAAAAAAGCAGTATATTTAATAAAGCACCTTGTAACATATCTGCTCCCAATTATTTTTCGTTGAAATTTGGCACATAAATAGAAAATGCATGTAAAAAATTGCCTGAATAACAAAAAAAGCGGACACGACATGCCTTCGACTGCAAATTCATGTGAAAACATCAACCAAATATTCAGGAGCAAAATAATCTGTTAAAAAGTCTAGTAACCATACATAAAAGTTTTAAAAAAGTAAAGATTAGCTTCTCTTCTTTCCAAAAAGTATCTATGTGTATATATGTTTCTAAAAAGAAACACCACAAAATTACGTTTACCCCACGCTGCCTAAAAAGAAGTGAAAAAAAGCGAGTCACAAAATTTTAGCAAAAAAATCGGTTCCGTAAATCACGATATGCGCGTACCTATATATATATATATATATATATATATATATATATATATATATATATATATATATATATATATATATATATATATATATATATATATATATATATATATATATATATATATATATATATATATATATATATATATATATATATATATATACACACAGACACACACAAACACACACACACACACACACATATAATATATACATTTTTAAATAAAACAATTTATGTAAGTTTCAATAGTGAGCTTTTGGACAAAACGACGAAAGATAATAGCTTATGTTGAATATTGCCAAAAAGATCTTACCATTAAATCAAGCAATATTTCACATTCAACAGAAGAAGTACAATCATTGTATTTAAAAAGTATATCAGATCGAAAACTTTCAACTGAGAGTGCTATTCCCTAAGGTGCAAATAATATATATTATATATATATATATTGTGAAGTAAACTCTGACAGTAATCTATTGATATTAAATATTGGCATTAGACAAGTTATTTTAAGTAATAATTTAAGTTTTTTAAAGAAAAAGGATTGTATGCCAATTCAAGTCAACATTGATGATTTACCATTATTTAAAAGCAGCATTGGACAATTTTGGCCAATATTAGGTTTAATAAAAAATGTGTATAAACAATATTCAACACAATAAAACCCCATTTATAATTAGTCTTTTTTATAGTAGGTCTACACCAAAAGACCGTAATGAATTTCTAAAAATGTTTGTTAATGAAAGTATTGCTTTATTTGATTCTGGTATTAGTATTAATGGTAAAGTATATAAGTTTTCTATATCAGCTTTTATTTGTGGTACACCAGCTAGATCATTTATAAACAGAAATAAAGGGCATAAAGCCTATTAATAAATGTTATGCAATAATTAATGGAATTAATTTGATATCTATTTTTTAATTTTTTAAAAGATATTCTTCACTATATATATTACTGATGCTTTTTCTATTTTTTTTGTAGATAATAGCTGTGGCAAGTAAAGGAGGCCAGACTTTAAAGGAGGCTGTCCAGAGAATTTCCTTTGCGTTATTCACTAATAACCTCTGCTGTAAACTTAACTGGTCTGGTATTACCATAAATGACAATGAAAGTAACTTTGTAAAACAAAGACTTACACTTGCTTAAAAGTATTTTTTTTTGTAGGGGCTTGTTACTCTAATTTAATAATTACTTGTGTCTAATTTAGTAATTACTAATCTATTTGTTAATGAATAGTTGATAAATAAATAAAATTTATTTATTATCTATATAAAAATAAAAAATTAATAAATATATAAATAAAATTTGTTAATAAATTGCTTTTAAAAAAATTCTATATATGTCTGAAATTAAGTTAAAAAATATATTTTTTGTTTTCCTGCTAGATAGTTAAATAAAAGTCTTAAATTAATTTTTAGGAGCTGTAAAAAGAAATCCTGCAACAACTTCAGCAACTGAATCAGATTTTCAATATGAGGTTGTGCGTTTTTTGCGTGGTGCATCAGACCGCAATGGCAGAAAAAAAGTTAGACAAGACCAAAAAAACAAACAAAGCCAAGAAAAAAGTGATGCCTACATCAAGTTTATCAATACCATTAAATAATTTAGTTCAGAAGATAAATAACATTGCTAAATAAAATAAGCATCTTTATTTACATATTTGTTATTTTTATTTTACAATATTTTATATATTTTTAAACTCAATAGAGTAAAGTTCTTGTGTAATGAGTATTACTGTTTCTGTGTTTTTCATAGTCATTCCCTTTTACAGTAACCTTTTGTATATGAGATTGTAGATGAGAATTTAAATCGTGATATTGAATCTTACTAGAGAATAAAGTAAGATTAATTTTATTATTTTGATATTTATTTAATTTTATTATTTTGATATTATTTTAATGTTATTTTTGAAGAAAATCTAAAATAAAAGTTCTGGAGTCTGTCTACTGTTTGATTTGTTTGATTATATTAAATTTAAATATAACTATAAGCTTTAAAATATAAAGTTACTGATGGAAAGCTAAATTAACTTGGTATTTAACCAGTGAAGCAGATGAATAAAAATCTAACAAAATTTTTATTTTACAAGCCATTATTTTAAAGAATTGCTTTATCAATTCCGTTCAAACATGCTTGTAATTTAATGTTACATTTATGATTTAATATTATTTCTTTACAGGAAACCGTTTACCTCAACCAGAGTTATATTTCATAGAATTATGTTGACTATGATCCAAATATTGCCATGGGTATAAGATAGATGTTTGATTTGCAAACTGGATTGAAATCATATTTTCTTTAAACATATTTATTTGCTTTTTACTTACAAATAATTTATTAGAAAAAAATTATATACTTATTTACTAAATTGTTTTATTTCAATCAATTATTTGATTTTTTATATTTTTCAAGGAATTTTTATAGTATATTATATTGCACTATGTTTTTTTTTTGTATGGTGAAAACTGTTCAATTTACAAACTATATTTTAGTTTATCAAAATATATTTTTATTGATGTGTTTTGCCTCTGATTCTTTCTTTTTCAGATGTGCACTTGTGTCTTAGGTTTATGCTTTGCAAAAGGTTCACCATCGCCCTTAAGTTGCTGTGGGTTTTACGGTTTTACTTCCAACCTGGCATATAAGTATCTCATTTTTAAATACTATTTTATTTGTTAAATTAAAATTAAAATTAAAGAAAATTTTTTTAATGAAATAACAATTTTTTTTTATTACTCATAAACCCCTCAAGCATATTTATACCCCACATTTATAGGATTAGGTATACCAGGTAGGTTACTGTATATGAAGTTTTATTTTTTAAAAAAGGCACGAAATATGACTTTATTTTTATATAGCTTTTTTTTTAAAGTTATTTCCATAGCTTTTCAATTTAAACAATATTTTTTTTGTTTTTATGTTTTAAATTATGCTTAAATATTGAAATTAAATTTATATTTATTGTAGATGCACTTAGTATCTGAAGTTATTTGTCAATAACTGGTGATCAGACTTTCAAACGAACACGTTTTTAAGGGCTGAGAAGGTTAGTTTATTATCTTTGTTGTAATAGCTCTAAACTTGACTGTTTCAATATTTTCATTATATATCATTGCCTGTTTTTAGGTGAAAGTCAGAAGTCTGCAGACTGTAACGTAAATCAATTTTCAACACATGGTTTTCTGAATATATTTAGTTTTCGATTGAAATGAGAATAAACTGAACTTATAGATATGTTGAAAATTAACTATTTTATATTTTAAACGTTCGCTAAACGCAAGTGAAGCAATAATCTATAGATGCAAATATACTTTATATTTTGTTTTAGTTTAAAAAAAAATATTGTTACTTTTATATTCATGTTGTAATTGTAAATTGCAATCTTAAAATGATTTTTATTATAACTTCTGATTAGTCTTTTTGTTCACCAAGCTTAAGCCTTGCCACGTATGACCTAATGATTTACAGTTGGGGTAGTGTTTTTCAATGGTAGGAGAATTTTAGTATAATAAATTCGTATTTTGTCTATATACCTATGCACAAAGTCAAAAGATATTTGATGCGTTTTCCAGGCATTGGCAGGATTTGCATTTTTTTATGAGTAAAAATTTGAGCTGAAAGATATAAAAATTTTTGCTAACGATAAGAACGTTCTATTCAAACAAAAAAATAAAAATAATTATATGTATATCAATGCATTCAAATCTTAGTCAAAACTTATTATAGATCCTATGCTATTCCGCAATGGCTTTATCATCGATTAGCAGCTGACGGACTGTTGCTCAAACGTTGTCGATTTGCCGCCATAGGTCAACTGTCGAACCGCCTTTAGTTTTCCGCTAACGGACCGATGTAAATACAATGTGCAAGCCAACGCGGCAACGCAACGGGCGGCCGACGTCGGTACGACATAAGTGCTGACAGCGGTCCGTTATCGGTCCGCCTGCTTGATGTTTGCTGGGTAGGTTATGTAGTGTCTTATATGTATGTAATATGTATAACAAAAGTCACATGAAATTACTCACAAAGTGTTTTAGTCATGAAAATAATTTCTGCGGTTTAAAATACCACACCCAACCCCAGTCCCTCTATTTATTGACTTTGCCCCCCCTCCCCGCGACACTAAACCTCAATTTGCCACTGTATATATATGTATGTATGTATGTATGTATGTATATATATATATATATATATATATATATATATATATATATATATATATATATATATATATATATATATATATATATATATATATATATATATATATATATATATATATATATATATATATATATATATATATATATATATATATAGTATTATATACATACATATAGAGTTGAATATTTATATGAACTTTTACTGAAATTTACAGTTCATACACATTTGCTTTATTTACTATTATAACTTACTTTTTACTGTAGTTAAATAGTTATAGCAAATGTTATAATTTACATTATAACTGCTATAACTTACATTTGTAACTTCTATAGAATTTTATAGAATTTTACTGCTGGGTAGGTTATGTAGTGTCTTATATGTATGTAATATGTATAACAAAAGTCACATGAAATTACTCACAAAGTGTTTTAGTCATGAAAATAATTTCTGCGGTTTAAAATACCACACCCAACCCCAGTCCCTTTATTTATTGACTTTGCCCCCCCTCCCCGCGACACTAAACCTCAATTTGCCACTGTATATATATGTATGTATGTATGTATGTATGTATGTATATATATATATATATATATATATATATGTATATATATATATATATATATATATATATATATATATATATATATATATATATATATATATATATATATATATATATATATATATATATATATATATATATATATATATAGTATTATATACATACATATAGAGTTGAATATTTATATGAACTTTTACTGAAATTTACAGTTCATACACATTTGCTTTATTTACTATTATAACTTACTTTTTACTGTAGTTAAATAGTTATAGCAAATGTTATAATTTACATTATAACTGCTATAACTTACATTTGTAACTTCTATAGAATTTTATAGAATTTTACTGCTGGGTAGGTTATGTAGTGTCTTATATGTATGTAATATGTATAACAAAAGTCACATGAAATTACTCACAAAGTGTTTTAGTCATGAAAATAATTTCTGCGGTTTAAAATACCACACCCAACCCCAGTCCCTTTATTTATTGACTTTGCCCCCCCTCCCCGCGACACTAAACCTCAATTTGCCACTGTATATATATGTATGTATGTATGTATGTATGTATGTATATATATATATATATATATATATATATATGTATATATATATATATATATATATATATATATATATATATATATATATATATATATATATATATATATATATATATATATATATATATATATATATATATATATATATATATATATATAGTATTATATACATACATATAGAGTTGAATATTTATATGAACTTTTACTGAAATTTACAGTTCATACACATTTGCTTTATTTACTATTATAACTTACTTTTTACTGTAGTTAAATAGTTATAGCAAATGTTACAATTTACATTATAACTGCTATAACTTACATTTGTAACTTATAATAGCTTAACATACTCCTGAAAAAATTAGCTCATCTATTGTGTATTCCACTCTCATTTATATTTGATGCCAGTTTTAAGTCAAGTTCTTTACTTTTATTTATACTTTGTTCTAATAAATATCAATCTATCAAATCTACAGTTCCAGTAAAAACTTACAGTTCATAAACTTTTAATTAAATGAATTTACAGTTCATATAAAATACAATTTGTATATTTTATATAATACTCAATATTTATATATTTATACAAATTGTATTTTATATAAACTACAAGTTTATATAAAAATTATTTTCTTTATAAGGGCAAAATGTTATTAAATCATAATTATAATATTTAAAGCTATTCGCATTGCCAAGAATTTGTGCTGCAAAAAAGTAAAACAATAATAAAAATCAAAATATCAATTTTATATTGAGTAGGCCTTGGTTCATAAAATGCATTGATACAACTCTATGATAAAATAATAACTCTTATATATAAAATAAAAACCAAATAAAAGAAAAACTATAGCTACAAATAATATACAACAAGTTAAATTGTTTAAATATATACAAGTTTTCCAGATGATTATAGTATTATAGTCAAATATATATAAACTATATACAAGGATGTATTATAATCAAAGGACGGAATCCTACAAAGAGTTTGTAACTAATAACAACTGTCTAATAATATATAGATCTAATAACTATAATAATGTTCAATTAACAATCATAAACTTATTCTTAGAACACATCAGCTAATTTAGGATGACTAGTAAAGTTTTTTTTTTACATAAAGCACTTATTAACTTTTGTCAAATCTTGATATTTATTTTTTGACGCAATTCTATAAAAATATTGACTAATACAACAACAAAAATTACCATAGTAATACCATATATGCTATTACTCTGGTGATTTTGTTATTTTATTAATCGATACTTTGTAGAATATATTTTATTGATATATATCATTGCTTTGTAAAATTTCCTGCTTGGTGGAGCTCAACCAGGAAAAAAAGTTCTATAGAATTTTTATAAGTTTTTGAAACATATGGCCTATAGAATTTCTATAGAATTTTATAGAATTTATATAGAATCTCAGTTAATTTATATAGAAATCTCCATTTATATTTATATAGAACATTTATATAGAACATTTTTTTCTTTATTTTTTTCTATAGAAAAAAAAGTTTTATAGAAGTTAATAAAAATTCTATAGAAATTCTATAGAATTTTTATAGGCTTATATGTTTCAAAAGTTTATAGAAAATTCTATGGAACTTTTTTTCCTGGGCAACGTACCTATGAAAAGTAATGTTTTTTTCTACAAACCCTATATTGTATCATGGAAGTATAAAACAGATGGAAGTTCATCGAGCCGCAAACATCAAAGCAATTTCAAGTAGGAATGGCTCTTTTACTTACTTTTTTTTTACTTATACGAGTAAAACAATCTTTATCAAAAAGTAAATTACATAAGTAATTTTAAACGTTTTATGTAAATTTACATTTCCGTATAAGTAATTAATTTTTTTGAAACGACTTTTACTTTATAATGTAAGTTTTTTTACTTTCAAAAGTAAATTATTTAAAAAAAGTTTAGATCAAAAAGTAATTTACTTTTACATGTAAAAGTAAGTCACGTGAAAAAGCTGTTTACTTTTACGTTTAAAAGTTAATTACTTTTGAAAATTACTTTACATAATATAAAAGTTACTCAAACTGTAATTTACATTTACCTTTAAAAGTGACGAATTAAAAAATATTATATTAAAAAGTAACTTACATATAAAAGTAAATTACATAAAAGTAATATGCTAGCAAATGTAAATTAAATTTACAAAAAAAAAAAAAAAATTTTTAAGTAGGAATTTTCTATATTAAAAGTAATAACAAATCTTTATTAAAAATAAGTTACATTAAAGAAATTTTAAATTACATAAACTTACATTTTAAATAATTTGTAAAGTAAATTAAAAGTAATTTATATAAAGTATGTAAATAAATTTACTTATATTTTACAATAACTTTGACAGGATTTTGTACAAAAGTAATGCAAAAAAGTTAAATTTTAAGGAATAAGGCATAAGGCATTTAGTTTTCCCGAACATTCGATTTGCGCGGTTTTAAATATTTCTTTCATGTAAAGTTTGAAAAGATCAATAATAGGGTTCCACCCATGATTAAAACTCTCTAGTTCCGGTCATGATAGTTTTAGCTATAATAAACATTCTCTGAAGCAAACCGTCTCAACAATGTTCACTCTCTGGCCAACCGTTTGAAAGGTCTGGACAAAGCTGAAAAAAGATGTTAGCGGAAGGCGCATATACCTATGGGAGACTCAGAAAGGGTAGTTTGTTTGAAAGAAAATTAATTGGCATAATTGTTAGTCCTTTTTACAAGCTTTTGCGGAAATGTATTTATTATTTAAAAACTAAGGAGAGTAAGTTTAAACGTGTCCTGAATTATCGGGACTATAACACCATGCCTTGAAGAATAAGGAGCCCCGAACATTTTCTTTGCGACATTGTTTAGGAAGAAGGCGTGAACTTTCAATTAAATGCTCATCAGCGGTGCTCTGTGCGAAGATCGTAAGGACTTATAAAAAACATGAAAAATATAGAACTTTTCACGTAAATACCTTTATCTGCATGTAGTATCAGTGGCTTAGCTACCGCAATGCCAGTATAAGCAAAACTTACGGTTCCACAAGCAACTGAACCTAGAGCCACAAGGTTTTGGAGATATATTTAAGATATATTTAAAGAGTTTTTATCTGTTGTTTTTTTTTAAAAAGTTATTG